GAAAAGAACACCGAAGCTAATATTTGGGGCCTCGGGAATGGAACATCACATGCAAAAAGAGATGAATATAGATGCAGGGCTTTCCCAAATTAGGGGTACCATTTTGGGGGTCCCCATAACAAGGATTGCAGTATTTGGGGGCTATATTAGGGTCCCCATTTTTCTGGGAAAGTGCCATTTCTGCATTTGCGGGGCACGAGGCTGTGCATGCTAGGGCTAGGGCATGGGGTGATAGAAGAGACTGGGAAGGAGGAAGAAGTCGGTCAGTCAGTTTGGCCTGTATATTTGCTCCACCGCTCAGCATTGTCACAGCTGAGGTGTTTTCCTTGCTGGATGATCTGTTTCAGCGCCAGGTGTCCATGCCGTGTGCTTCCAGAAGCCTCAAGTTTGGGCAGTCTGGTAAGAGCCAACCCTTCATGGTCAAGCAGATGGGTTTGTATTACAAGAGAAGCTTCATGTGAGCTATAGTCTCACGTCCTAATGTCCCCCCTTAAAACCCCTATGGTACTCCCCTATATAATCCTCTTTGAGGAGTTTAGATTATGGCTCATGTGGTTTGGTCTGGCAGGTAGTTGCAAAGCCCCACACTACTGGTAGCCTTGGAGCAAACCCTGGGCCAGGAAGAGGTCAAGGGTACTCCAGTGACTCGTGCTGGGGACGAGACGTGGAAGAGCAGACAGATGCAGCGCTTGGTGGCTTAGAAGCACGAAGCACGAAGCACGAGCTGCATGTTTTTTTTGGTGGGGCTTCCCAAGCTTACTCAAGGCAACTCATCAAACCCTCTGAACCCCCATGTATCCCCTATACTATAGAACCCCTAAACCCTAAACCCCAAAACTTAAACCCCCATGTAACCCCTCAAAGCACAGAGCCCAAGAGAGCCTAGGAGCTGCTGTTGGCACCTTTTGGTGCACGGCTCATCGTGACTGGGTTGCTGTTAAGGAACTTAAATTAAGTTACCATAATGGGTATATATATATAGTAAATAATAGGGTTTCCCCAATATGGTAACTTAATTTAAGTTCCTTAACAGCAACCCAGGTGAAGGCTGCGCTTCGCGCCGGCGCTTTTGCTCGCGCTTTGCAGTCCTTGGAGGAGGATCTCATCGAGCAGGCAGGGATGTAAGTGTAGGGGATAATGGAAAAGAAAATGGAAACTACTATATGATATGATGGCTATATTGGAGTTATATGGGAATAATGGAAAATAAAATGGAAACTACTATATGCTATATTGGGGTTATATAGGGACCTAGGGGATCCCTAAACTCATCACAATGGGAGGGCAGGCCTACACCCCTAAACCCTCAATCCCTAAACCCTAAACCGAAAACCCCAGATCCCCAAACCCCTAACCAACCACTAAACCCTAAACCCCTACACCCTAAACCCTAATGAGGCTCTCCAACGCCAGCAGAACATCTTCGATTTGGAGGGTCCAAGGATTACCGAGGCCGACTGTGAGCTTATGCAGCAGATCTACCGAGAGCTCGGTCACCTGGCAAAAGCAGGCAAACACAACATGCAGTGAACTTTACTATTATTACCATAGCTGCTATAATTGCTCTTATTGCTATTACTATGATTACGATTATTGCTACTATCATTTCGATTAACCCTAAGCCCTAAACCTTAACCCCCATAAACCCTAAACCCTATAAACCCTAAACCCTAAATTTTTATTACTCTTATGCACTGCACCACAGTTTACCAAGCCCTGCGCCACCTAGGGGAGCCTGATGGCGTGGTTGGCGTCCTGCGGATTGGGCCCACAAGCGCAAGGATCTGTGAGTTGGGTTAGGTTAGATCTCCACTCAGCAATAGTGGTCTACTAGGTTTAGGGGTTCAGGGTTTAGGGGTTTAGGGGTTAGGGTGTATATAGAGGCCTTAATATACTTGCCGTTATCTGTTGCCGAACCTAACCTGTGAGTCAGTGAGGTCCAGTGCGAGGCCTTTGTGAGCCATAATCCAAATTCCTTAAGGGAGCTATATGAGATAATCTATAGGGGACTACTATAGGGGTTATGAAGGGGGATACTGGGAGTCTAGACCCTAAACCCTAAACTGCATTACAGGGCTATTCAGGGAGAAACAAGGAGTTTAGACCCTAAACCCCAAATCCCAAACCCCAAGCCCGAAACCCTAAACCCTATTCTAGGGGAACCTTGCTATAGGGGTTATCAACAGGGAAGCTAGGAGCTCCTAAACCCTAAACCCTAAACCCTAAACCCCTAAACCCTGAACCCTAAACCCTAAACCGCATACCCCAAACCCCAAACCCCAAACCTGAAACTTGTCAGTGGGGCTCCTGGCCTCGGAGGACTCGCCGTCCAGAGCTCGAGCTCCAGAACCGCTGGGCCGACGTTCAGGAGAACTTGAGAAAAGGGAATATCTATATATAGGGTTTAGGGTTTAGGGTTGGGGGTTTAAGGTTTAGGGTTTAGGGTTGGGGGTTTAAGGTTTAGGGCGTAGGGTTGGGGGTTTAAGGTTTAGGGTTTAGGGTTCAGCCATACTCTGAACTCCTTAAAGGGGGGTTTATAGGGGGTTATATAGGGGACTACTATAAGGGTTATTAAAGGGGATATTAGGAGATTAGACTATAGCTCATATAGGGATAATGGAAAAGAAAATGGAAACTGCTGCATCGTAATAGGGTATATCCTGGGGGTATAGTAGGGACTGAGGGAATACACTCCCCCAAACTAACATGGAAACCCATATAGCCCCATTTTAGAGGGACTGTAGTCTTTATAGGGGCCCTTTTGGGTTTCCATGTTAGTTTCCAGGAGTGTATAATCCCATAGAATTTTGATTGAAGCAATTTTGAAGCGTTGCGAGAGCAGAGTTGAATCTTGTCGCATCCCAAACCCTCTGCTCGAAGGCCTGCTATGAATGTGGGGAATTATTTTATACTAAACATACTAGTATTACCAATAATCCCAATAATATCCATAATAGTAAGAATATCAATAATTATCGTATCATTAATAATATGAATCAGCATATAGTTGTAATCATTGATTACTATCCGTGCGAAGGCCTGCTATGAGATTGCCTCGGAGGGGTCGCCGCCAGAGCGCAGTCAAGCCTTGTGTGGCCTGGTGCGTTGCACACAGGCAAGGCAGGCGTCCGTGTTGGAGCCAGGACTGTATCTAAATTATGGATACCTTTTTGGGGGTCCCCATAATAGGGATTATAGTATATTGGGGTCTATATTGGGGTCCCCTTATTTTGGGAAACTACCATAGAATTTTGGGAAATATATTCCATTGGAAGTGTGCCTTCAGGCCATGCGCCGATATGAGACTTCACTGCAGCTCATCGCGGGCATCCAGCAGGACTTGGACAGCTCGAGTTGAGTTGCTTACATCATTAAACAGTGTGATCAGTTTTGAACATTCTTGGACCATGTTGGAGACCAAGTCTTGATAAGACTTTGGTGGGGCCGGTTATTTTGAAACGACGTTTAAAATCCCTGAGCGCTGGGCAGTGTTGGGCAGAGAGGGAAGACATATCAGTCTTCCTGAACCTCCAGGGAATGTGAAAAGACTACACCCCTAAACCTCTGCGCTGTGAAGCCCCTTGATAACCCTTTGTAGTAGTTTCCATTTTTTCCCCTATCCTTGTATCAGCCCTTTTGCATCCGCTATAGACAGAATTTTTTGGCGCTCAGGAGCAGCCGGATCTGACCACGGCATTGCGACCACAGGCCGTCGAGGCAACGAGTTTGAGATCGCCGCAGACCCGCATGATTTAGATTCTTTTGGCAAAGGTATATGGTAGTTTCCCAAAATGGGGGGACCCCAATATTGACCCCAGTATATTATAATCCTTGTAGTAAGGACCCCCAAAATGGTTCCCCTAATTTTGGGAACCCCCCATATGGTGAGACGTTTCTTCACCTTTGGCATTTCATAATCATCGGGATTCCGCCCTTCCATGTTAAAGAGGTGACAGCTAAGACTTGTATTGGCGGATTTAGAAGCAAACACGTATGTGTATGTGTATATATATATATATATGTATATGTATCGTTATATGATTATGTGTTTACATATACAGATACAAATATAGCATCTAGATGTAAATGCATAGACACATGCAGAGACAGCAGGGAGATCCCCCCATATAACCCCATATACTATAGTACTTTCCAGCCTCTTTTCCCTTCTCCCAATATACCCTCAATATGTCCCCTAAACCCTAAACCTTGAATCCTAAACCCTAAACCCTAAATCCTAAACCCGAAACCCTAAATTGTGAGGCAGCATGGCAGCTGGGCAGTTGGGATCGATTGGCGCAGGTCCTGCAGGCGGATTTGGGTTTTGGTGCTTAAAGGGGCAGTGGGGCATTGAAGATAGGTACCATTATGGGGATTTAGGGTTTAGGGTGTAGGGTTTAGGGTTTAGGATTCAGAGTTTAGGCTGGGGGCGTGAATATACGTACCGTTATAGGGGTATATATGGGGATTACATAGGGGTTGTTATCCCTTAAGCACCCGTAAGACTAGGGTTTTACCGGCGAGAGGGAGTCCCTCTGAGGG